TACATTCTATCATACTCTTTTGAAACTTCACTTCTGCCAGAAACTTTTATGAGATGAAATAAAATGACACACCAGAGTTGGCTTTTCTTGAATTATAAGCAAGTGTCAAGTATCAAGTGAAAACAACTACCTTGTATAGTGGTATATTTATCACAAGTGAAAGAAAGTAGTCAACAACCTGACTTAAATCTTCGAGATTCATTTTCCATGAATGTAACAAGTACCTGTATTTACTAAAATCCCAGGCTATAAGTTAGATTACAAAAATTGCATATAATAGATGAACTGGTTTAGGCTTTAAATCTGGTTGTATAGACCTTCCTGCTTCCCATCATTCGGTCTGAATCACCACTGTCAGGATACAGAAATCAAGGCATTATTACACTTACTATCCAGACAGCACAAAGTTAGACTAACACCAGGACTGCTCACCAGGTAAAACCCAGTTCATATCAAACTTTTGAATTTGAATTTCTGGTAAGAAAGAAAAAAACCAAAACACTTGCATTGGTTAGAAAGGGGGAGGGGAGCCTCATGCTCCCCTTTCTATGAGAGGAGTTGAAATAAAACTTAGAAGTGACTGTTTTAAACAGTCACATTGAATATACAGATTTGGCAGGTAAAATATTAAAGAGCTCTTTTATTTCCATATTCATTACTTTTGACGAGAGTCTATCAGTCTTTTTAATATAAAATGTGTTTAAATCTTTAAAACAGTTTCTTTAGCATGCTGTAGCTCTGTGTTTTTATTTTTTTTAAGCATCAAATGATTTTTAGATCGGAAGGTGAAATTGATGGGGATAGTAGGTCACAGATGGGAACACCAACTGGGCTGTGAGTGTCCACATTGTAATTGACCCTTCTAGGTTTTGGGCTGCCATTTATGAATCTAGTTTTTCCAGTATAATAAAATTCTCGTTTGTCAGCTCTGTTGAAACTTTATGGTTCCTAGGAAACACCACCACTTACTAAGCTTATATTCCATCCTCAACCCCCCGACATGTCTATAATTCTAGTGAGTTTTCAAATTGCTGATATTCAGTTAAATTGTCAATTACATTCTTTAATGCTACGGAAAACATCTGATGAGCTGCGCTGTCTGTGCAAAGCTGTGGCATTTGGCTTAGGCATTTAAGTCACTCAAGTTAGCAGATCTCAGAAAGAATAATGTAATCAGTAGTTGCAAATTTGTGTTAGAACTAAGAGTGATCAAGGCTTTAAGCTTTTGGTGTTGGTTGTGGTAAGAATACATAGATTTGTTCCAGTTTTGAATTACAGTTAAGTCTTGCCTAAGAAAGCATGAAGGTACTTCCCATTTAAGGTTGGTATTTCATACACTGACTACAATAATATACTCTAAACTGTCTTGGAGACAAGGAGCAGATGCCATTTTAAAGAGAAAGATTAAGTCTGTATTTGGAGAAATGGAAGGCTCATGGCACCTTTTAAAAAGGCTGTCTCAACTTCTGAGGATGTTAATTTTCTACCTACTAATTCAATGGTTTGTATCCCTGGCTAAAAGTGAGGGCGCTGAATGACCAATGTGTTTTCTACAAGCTGCAAGGCAATGCCTTTGGAACTAGGAACTCAGGCTTAGCTATTTTGATAGGCTGTTTATAAACAGAAGGAAGAGTGATGGTGTTCTACATTGTTGTTTCAAAGGTTTCCTGAAATGTTTCCTGGGTTATGTGTGAGTCAACCTGCCTTTGAAACTGTCGGGTAGGAGTTTGTTGGTATAAATTTAGCATCACTTACATAGGTCTAACAGGGAAGAAGCAATTATCTGACAATCTCTTTTTCATTGGATTACAGTTCTTCTAGCTGAATCCAGATTTAATTCATAAATTTCAGATGGGGAGAGAGGGGAGAAGGAGGGTCCATTGAGTTCCATTAATTTAGGCAAAAGAAGTTCTCTCTTTAGTCGCAGTTTGAATGTAATTAGACAAGAATTGATGTCATTATTTCTAATATCACTTTATAAAATCACAGATTAAAACGATTAGAATGGGGCTTGATTATTTCATTCCATTTTTCATCATTATCATAATCCCTTAGAATTTGTAGTGTTTTCCCCCTCTTTTTTAACCACCTGGGACAGTTCCTCTAACATAGTAGGTGTTCAATAAATATTTGTTAAAAGAAAGAAGTGATACTTAGTACATTCTAAAGATCAAGAACAAAGGATTTTAACTTGTACAACAATCTCAGAAGTTTAAACAAAGAATCAGTGATATATGTTTATAGAAAATAAATCATATATTTTCCTGTTGAATGATAACCAAACCAGAATGTTGCCTAGAAGTCATCTGTTGGAGTATAAAAATTTAAAGAGCACAATCACTTATAATCCTCTTTTTTCTTGATTAATTTGCGGCCAGTGTTTCTGTAATTCAGCTTTTATTGGGGGAGGTATTGCTGGGCCATATACGATTGTGAAGATTTTAATAATAAAATTTAATTAGTAAGTGTTAATTTCACATTTTATATGTGATTGGCACTCTGGGAAAAATATAGTTTCATCACAAAGAAAAGACTGGCTTTCAAAAAGTAACCATATTCTTCAATTAACCAAAAGACATGAGACAAATGGATTTTACTAACGTCTTTATAATCAATGATCAAGAGATGGGAAAAACTTAAGTAATTCTCTTTCATTGACTTCTATCTCCCAGAAGAAACCTAAAATGACAAAGGAAATGCAAGCTGCTCCAGCCACTTGACTTGCAAATCAATTTGGCCTGGATTATAAACTGGAAATTAAGCCCTAATAAAAAGTAGAGGGCTGATGCTAAAACAACAGGGACCAAAGCACGAAGCTTTGCCATTGACAGTGAATGACTAAAAAGCTGTGTGTCAAAAAAGACTATAATTTGGTTAGCTATACTACGGGGGCAATACAACAGCTGCAGGTCAGGTTACTGTGTCTTGGTATAAAGATCTGAAGAATCCACTGGCTGCATCCAGCTTGATCCCCATTTAAAAACCTTAGAAAAACTGTAGCGCTTTCCTGGCATGTGGGCAGTTTTTGTTGAATAGAAGGTCTATTAATGGAAAAAAAAAAGTCCATTGGCACACACTGCTCTCTCAGCTTTTCTGGGAAAGGAAGTGACAATGAAATGATTCCCTCATTAGTATTACTTGCAACTTTGAACCAATATTTTTAAACCAAAGCTTTAAAAATTATCTTTATTTTTAAACCACATTTTTAGATCATAAAACCCAACCAGATGCTAGGGTGGGAAAAATTCAGTACTCATTACTGGCCATTGCCTAAAATCTGTCATTCTCCAATGTGTGGTATACACCTACTATGTATGTGTGTGTGTGTACGTGTGTGTGTGTGTGTGTGTGCATGCATGTGCAACGTCCCGGGGTGATTTAATAGGTAATCTGTGTGTGTAGTTTGTGGGAGACGTTTAGGGGTTAGGTTATGTATATGAACATTTGGAATAGAAGCTGTTGTGGCTGGAAGGTTAATCCTTCTGTGTAGCAGTGACTTTCCACCCCAGTTGGACAGATAGGGGCAAAAGCTCTGTTTTTGTTTGCTTGTTTGCCTGTTTCTAGGTTAAACATCTTTTTGGAAATGAAGCTACAAAACAGAGACCCAGCCAAACATAAACAAGTAGGTGTCAACCTTCTCGTGAAAATAAAGCTAAACTAAATTAAATATCTATCATTTCAGAATCTGGACTGGCATTCTACCCTTCAACTCTGCCCAGCCAGAGTCACCTCTGCCCCACTCTGCCACACTGTGTTCCAAGAATAAGCTGAATACTTCACACGTAGCTGCTTCCAAGGCTTGTAATGGCCCAGCCAATATGGCACACGTGATTCTTTCACGTGCTCAAATGAAGGAACCATAGCCTCCTGTCATTTTCTTTTTGGGCCTGTGCTCTTTAGATTATATAATAGGGGGAAAAATTTGGAGATCAAGCACTAAAAACTGTAACTTTGGAGACAACATGGGATATACTATCAAGATTTGAGCAAAACCCCAATCTGATTAGTCCAAAGGGCTTGTCATTCAAAAGGAACATCCCTGCCCTCATTACTGCTACCTCCATAAGGACCAACCCAAAGCTGCTGTACTGTTAATACTAATGGTTCTCGTTTGGCCCAGTGGTGGGGTAGAGTAGGGGCAGGAACCAACTGCACAGTGGAAGAGCTGCCAAGTAAACATGTTTTCCCCAAATCAAGTCTTAGTAGAAACTTTTCCATTGGAGGACTTTCTCTAGATCAAACATTTTTTAAGTTCAGTGAAATAAAATAGTATTTTTTAAGGACTTGAGATCTACAATATATTTATATCCATATATCCAAACATCCAAGTCTAAAAGACATAAAAAAGAAGTAGCGATGCAGTCACTGAATAGCAAGGCATGTCCACATTTCAAAGAGGCATAAAATGTGAAATGATATAATAGAAGGTCAAAAATATGAAACAGATTTAGCATAGTCATATTGCATTGGAAAAAAAAAAAAAGTAGAACACACTATTTAGTTACCTAAATTAATTTACAGGAAAACGGGATCTTAGAAGTCCTCCGACGAACCAAGCGCAGATAATCTAAAGGTGGGGAGTGCATGTTTTATTTCTATCTGTCCCCTTTAATAAGAGAACATGAGGTAATTAGAAAGTATTCAATGCATTCTGGACTGTTCTGCTAATTGTCCCAGGCAAGAGAAATCAAAATTCTTCAGAAAAGTAAGGCCTAGTTGAGTATTTGGGTAGAGGCCCCCCCTTCAATCAGCTAGTCACTAAATGGAAATTTCATTATACGCTCATTGTGTAGAGATGGATTGATCGCGCTGTAGAAAAAGGCTGGTTGCTGAGGTTCTGTCTCTTCCGTGTTTTCTCGGCCTCCTCTGCTTTTACCGAGTTAGGTCTTGAGAGTGGTGAAGGAAAACAGGTCATTTTTCCTTCATAAAGTATCACTGGGTGATTCCTCTATTTAATTATATGAACCTTATAATAGTTACAGATTAAAAAATGTTTTTTTAAAATTTTTCATCTCAAAGAGTTCTTAGTCCCCACCCCTCACAAGGTACCATGAAGGGGCACTAAAGTGCATTTTGATGCAGGGGAGTAGAGTTTGAAGGTGCTGTCCAAGCTAAGAACCAAGATGATGCTGTTTAAAAAAGAAAGGCAATTCCTTCTACCTCCATCTCTGGAGTCAACTGAGGGAGGGCAATGAACTAGACCCTCACCAGAGGATTGTCCTAACTGTTAACTTTAGAGAAAACTGTGTAAGGACCTGCACATATAGACTCATTTATTTGTCCAAAATAGCAAAAATAGGCCTATTTCACCCTTAAGAAAGTATTTGCAAATTTGATCAGACACGATCATAAAAATGTGAATGGATTCCAGAGGCAATCCATGTGGGCATGCTCGGTGGTACTAACTATGTGTCTTCAGCTTAAAAGAACATGCTGCTGTTCGTTTTCATCAAAACATGACTTCTAACTACCATAAATAAAATACGCATGGAACAATTAAATCTTTTTCTTACAATAATTACTTTTACATTAAAAAGTCACCATCATCTTCAGATATATCGAAAATTAGGACTCTAAATCTTATTATTTCCCAGTCTTAGTTAACAATCTTGCACAGGCCCGATAATCCAAAACTTGGAGCTCTGATCTACACAGCTTGGCAGGCTTCACACAGTTTCACAGGTAGGCAACTGTGAGATATGCTTTTTTAAAATTAGCATTTTCTATCAAAACAGTCTGAAATCGTTTAAAACCCTCATAGAGACTGCATTTGTGCAACGGCACAGTCACGTAGCTAGAAGGGAGAAAACAAAATACAGTCTGGAAGATTCACCACGGTCCAAGTTTTCTTGGTCCTCAGCTGAAACCACGATGAGCCCAGGAAATCCAATTAAATACAGTGCTTTACACAGGAGAAGAGTTGGTCCAAGAATAACTTAAGCTACTAAACAGGGACAGTCTCCACCACGGGCGATTTGATGCACTCTTCGTGCAATCTGCTCTTTTCTGCGAGGCTCAAAGAATCTTCAGCAGGATGCTCTGAAATGTGACTGTCCCCATTCAATGCAGAGCCAAACCCTTCCTGGGAGGGGCCTTTCAAGTATGAGTGAAATTCCACTTGAGGATGATTGGACCTGTGTTCGGGATATAAGCTATTGCAGGGCACACCGCTGTCGTTTTCCGAAGAGGAGCAGCAAACGATGACAGAGGGGTTGGCAGCTGGGTAGTGGGAGGCGCCGTACGCCTCTTCCGCTTGTCGGGCATAGTCCACGAATTGCTCCGGGGTCATGGTGTAAGGCACCAGCGAGAGGGCACCGCTTTTCACAGTCTCTCTTTCCGAGTAGTTCTCGGGGATCTGGTTGGGAGTTCCTGGAATGTGGCTGTCTATTTGGTAATAGAGGGTAGAAGAGTTGGCATAAAAGGGAGCGCTTTTCGCGTGGCTTTCGTGGACGGCCGTGCCATCGGAGTAACAAAGGACGGAAGGAAGAGGGACCCCTTCGGCATGGGGACCCAAAGCTTCCACGAAACTGTCCCCTTTCTCGTCGTCGTCCTCCTCTTCCTCCTCGTCGTCCTCGTCTTCCTCCTCGTCTGACTCGCTGGGGGCCAAGCTTTGGGTGCTGGAGTCCGTGACTCCGCTGCAGAAGCTGCTACCGTCCTCCTCTTCCTCTCCTTGGCAATCTAATTCCTCCGCCGACTGCAGGTGCAGCACTGCAGCCTGGGGTTCCGTTTCAATCTCAAAATTGTCTGCGATGGAATATCCGACGGAGTGAGCCACAGGGCCCATGGAACTACTGTGGGCACTTATCTCCCCGTGGCAGCCGTTCAGCGTGGGGATTTGCTGCTCTCGGTTTTTCTCCAGTTCAAGTTTCATTATTGTGTGCAAAAAGTGAGTCCGGACACGGATAGGATTAAATTCAATTCTACCTGCTGTGTTACTACATCCTTCTTTAGTGCAGCCACATGGGAAAGACATTCGATCCACCTTGGAGGGAAGAACACAGATTAGCCCCCTGGAACTCTTACAAATCAAATAAAAATCCAGTACCTCAGGGCAAAGCCTTTGAAATCTGGGATGACTTAAACCCACTTATGCCAGAACAAACGACAATCAAACTGCAGACAGAAACAAAAAGGGAAGTGAAGGCTTAGAACATGAGTTAACCTAATTTTAAACCCATACTCAAAATAAAAATGAGTTATGGTGTGTAGTTTTGTTCCTTTATCCCTCCTGTGCTTTCTTTACTTCTGTCGCCATTCTCCGTTTCCCTCTTCTCTCCATCCCATTAATTTTGCTCCCATTTTTTTCAATGCTTCTGTCCTTTCCCCAAGCTCCCTTTTTTTCTGCTGCATGCCAGCTCACAGGCTCAGTTTGAAACAAACTTACTGCCCTCATCCCCACCTGCTATTTTTAGTCTAAATGACATGACATTTCTCATTCTAGCCAGGAGTTTTTTTTTGCTTATTATAAAATGAACTTCTCTGCCCAAAGTGTCCAGATTGACACCACCTTAGTATCAAGCAGTGTGATAACTCACTCTCATTGGTGTACCTTCTCATTCTTTTGGATCCTTGGTAGGTGACGCACGTATGCAACTGCAGGCTGCGATGCGTACGCACATTCATGACGGTGACTGGTGGATTTCTGTTTAGTTGCTGGCTCCCCGGCCTTCCCTACCCCTCCCTTAGACTACAAGCTTCTGGAGAGAAGAAGATGTTCATTTAATCAATATCCCATGATTATTCGAGTGTTTGGACTCTGTAGATAGAGTGATTAGGTTCAGCAAGTGTTGTTGGACTGAGCTCTTCACTCAGGTGATGAGTGGAATTCTGGGCAATCTAAGGGACTCCGAAGATACTTGCTGGCTTAGATTCCACTTTTATGCAGACCAGAGCACAGGCAACCAGAAAGAACTTGCCCTTCTTTCCACCTTATCCAAGCATGGGGTATTTCCCATGCAAGAGAGGAGAAAGTGGGTTCTAGCACAGTCATCCCGGTCCCCACAAAAAGTAGTAGCAGATGTCGAGCCAGAATCTATAGCTACTTTCTTACCTGTGATTCCACTTTCTGTGAATCTACCTCAAGCAACTGTTCAGCTGATAAGAACTGTCCTCTCCTTTTGTCTGCCTGAGAGGCTCTTATTGAAAAAGTTGAGTTTCTGCATACAATAAAAACCCCTAACTAATCATGGCGCACCAATGATATAGATGGATAGGAACCTGAGAGGCATCTAGTTCAGGGGTTGGTAAGCTCTTTTTTTGTAAAAAGGCCAGAGAATAATTATTTTAGCCTTTGTGGGCCATACAGTCTCTGCGACAACTACTCAAGCTCTGCTGTAGAAGTATGAAAGCAGTTATAGGCAACATGTAAACACACACAAAAAATACATGGCTGTGCTTCAATAAAACTTTACTTACAAAAACAGGGCGGCAGGCTAGATCTGACCTGTGAGTTATCGTTTCCCAACCCCTGATCCAGCCCAGCCCATTCATTTTAGAAGTGGGAAAACTGAACCCAGTAAGTTTACCTGACTTGCCAATTTCACATCGTGGCAAAAGGCAAAGCCAGGAGGAAAACTCAGTTTTCTTAAGTCCCAGTCTAGTAATTTTCCCACTAATCTACACTACCTCTAAGCAATCATCATTTTATACCCCATGGATGGATCAGAGAATACAAACTTTAAATGTTAGGGATGTCATGATCTCCCTGAATGCTTGTAAGAAGACAAAATAAGTTTGCATAATAAATGAATCCAAGAGCAAACAATTTCAACTGACAACTGCAGCTTGGATTGCCTTTCACACTATACCATATATATATAAATATTACATATACCCCTAAATGTCATTGAATTAGTATTTCTCTCTTCTTGAATCATGTGTCTTGCCTTACCCCAGAATTTTCTTCCACGTGTGGGAAACTTCATTACATGGAACACAACTGCCTCTTTAGGGGTTGGTGTATAATGTCATGCCTTCGGATTCCTTGAAACCCCAATCCTTACCTGACACTTAATGCCTGCCAGGCTGCAGGTACACGTTTCTGGATCACAGAACACCCGGCAGTCACAGCCACAGTCCTCTCGAGATAGGCGGATGGCTCGTAGCTCATGCTTTTCCTCCACATCAATCTTTTTCACCCCAGAGGCCCGCAGCAGTGCTCTCCGTTTTTTTGTTGGCAGGGGTTGGAGAAAGAAGTACTCGTCTACCTCGGTGTTGTCTAAATCGATATCATCATCAGAAATGTCATCCACTGTAAGAGTGCTAGCTTCTTCAGATTCCACGGTGCCATTCTTCGTCATCTAGAAATACAAAGCAGCAAAAAAGAGACTTAGCATGGACAGGGTCTAAAATCCCTACTTCTGCACTTGGTAAGAATGAAGCTATTATATAACATTATGTCCCCATAATCCATAAGTGTTTGTGGATAGGTGTGGGAGATTAAGAGGTATAAACTTCCAGTTACAAAATAAATGATTCATAGGGATGAAGAACATGTTTGTGAGTCAAATCATTTCCTTTTACTTTTCTCTTTAGAGAAATTACAGGAAGGAAAATGAATGCATCAAAATGATAGGCTTTTAAATGGACACAAGACTTGTTAATTGGAACTCTTAACCTCTTAATGTTAGGAGGTATAGTTGCTGGAGCTTTCAGCCTGCGCGATGTGAAAAAGGCCAGAGGTTACAGATGCCCATCAGTGAAAGCTATTGTTAGACTCAGTTTGTGATGGACAGATTTGATGTTGGAATAAATGTGTCCTTGTTCAGAGGTGATAGCATCTCAGCGGAAGCTACTGCCACCTAAATAAGCAAACACGTCCTTGAAATAACAACCCTGTCTTTTGGGCTCCAGAGAAACTATGTACTAGGAAGTAAAGTTTTGCTGTCCTGTGCTGTTGGGATTACAAACACGGTTTCCCTACAGAATGTTCCATGAACGAGAGCTTGATATGACGCACTTAGGTCACTGTGCTCTCAATAAGACAAGGAGCAGAGGGCAGCGTGGCAGGCTCTTGCCAACAGGCAACCCAAACAATGAACTCCTCCCTCGAAGGAGTTCATAGGAAACTGCCCAGAGCAATACCTTCCACATAATAGCACCTGTGGACGACTGTGTCTCATACCCATAACTTTTCTGCTTCTGTGTATATTTCTCTTCTAAATTAATTTCACCCATCGGGAAACCCTGAGTCAGTATTTCACTTCTTACTGCCATATCACCACATAATATATTTTCTTCATTAAAAAACATTTAGAAAGAGACATTTCCTCTGAATATAAGCAAGAACTATATTCTGGGAAGCAGCACAGGAATAAATGAAGAAACTCAGAGATTATTCAAGGAAGTTCTAGATAGGGAAGCTTTTTTGATTCTTTAAGTTTTATATGTATCACTTCATGAACTTCATTAACTGCAATTATTACTATGCCTTTTGATCTTAATAACAATTCAGTTATTACACAGTTAAAATACCCTGGTGACACCAGACATCAGTTTCTTATCTTCCTAGGAAAAATCCTATATTTAGATAAGAATATTTATTACTGACCAAAAATCCCAACCTGGACAACTCTGAATGTATTGAAAAACAAACAGAAGACTGATTTTTGCCCTCAGGTAGAGGAAACAACACAGTAGCAAGTGTATATTAAAATATATTGCAAAGGGTCCCTGAAATGCATTGTCAAAAGCTACTAATTTATGTATTTTTTTATATTTCGGAGCTTAAATCTGTGTTCCTATAGAGTTGGGCATTTCCTTTTATTGGGTTTTGTTTCTTGGTGTGATCTGTAATTTATTTCCTTCCTTGGAATTTCTTTATAAATGTATTGGTTAAGCTGTTTTCATTTTTCTGTGATGTCCACCAACAGTAACTGGTAACATCACAAAAACAACAAAAAACTTCATTTCATATCAACAGGGTTTGATTTTTTAAAAAATAATGGTTGCTGTCATATAATACATGAAATCTAAAAATCAACAAAAAGTAAGACTTCAGCAAACATTTAAAAACATGACAATTTTTAAGGCAACATGACTAACCAAATGGTATCTAAGAATGAAAAAGAAACAACTGTATCTCAAATAAACTACAGATGATGCTTATTCCAATACCGTATGATCCCACTCCTGGGCATATATCTGGAGAAAACTCTAATTCGAAAAGATACATGCACCCCAGTGTTCACAGCAGCACTATTTACAATAGCCAAGACATGGAAGCGACCTAAGTGTCATCGACAGATGAATTGATAAAGAAGATATATATAAACACACACACACACACACACACACACATATATATACATACACATATATGTGATGAAATATTACTCAGCCATGAAAAAGGATGAAATAATGCCATTTGTAGCAATGTGGATAGACCTAGAGATTATCATACTAAGTGAAGTCAGACAAAGACAAACATCATATGAAATTGCTTATATGTGGAATCTAAAACATGATACAAATGAACTTATTTACAAAAGAGAAACAGACTCACAGACAGAAAGGAAATTTATGATTACCAAAGGGGAAAGGGGAGGGGAGGGATAAATTAGGAGTTTGGGATTAAAATATACACACTACTATATACAAAATAGATAACCAACAAGGACCTACTATATAGCACAGGGAACTATACTCAATATCTTGTAATAACCTATAATGGAAAAGAATCTGAAAAAGATATATCTATATATACATATATATATGAAGATATATATACATATTCAGTTACATATATATATATATGTATATATATATATATATATATAAAAACTGAATCACTTTGCTGTATACCTGAAACTAACACATTGTAAATTAACCATATTTCAATAAAAATTAAAAAAATACAATAAAACAATTCTTCACTCATAAAAAAACAAATATAAGAGCCCTTAGAAATAAAATTTGCATTTCTTATTCCCACACTTAAATTACAATAAACAGTTTCATTTTTAAATAAAAATTCAATTAAGAATCTAAAAGTCCTTGATACACAGCTAGCTACATACTGTTCTTACTCTTGTTCAAGAACCCACAAGGGCCCTAATTTAGATTTTCAAAAAAATCTCACATTATCATTGAAGTGATCTGGCAAGGTTTTCTCCTCATCTATCCAATATCATCTCTACCATTTCTAGTGAAGACTGGAAATATTCTAGTTCAACCCGGTTAATTGGCTTATCTCTTTGTCCTCACGGTTCCTGGTTTGGTTATGTAACCACTGACAGATACTATTCTCTGCTGTCCCCTTGGAAGTCCTTCCCCAGCCTTCTCCTCCAGGATATGCCCCTTTGCCCCTTTAAAACGCAGACCAAACCTATCGAGTTTAAATGCTCCTTTAAATCAGAGTATTACATACATTATTTTCAAATGCATTTTTCTATATTAGAGCAACGGGGCAATAAGTCAATGAGCTCTCTATTTCTGTCCATCAACTCATGTTCATCATGCTTTCAAGATCTTGTACAACAAACTCTAGGGAGTCTTCCATGATTTCCTCATCTGTTTTTGCTGACTCCTTTACCCCATTGGCCCATCTTCACAAGAATATTTATTTTGTACATTTTGTCTCTTTGACATGAGTGATACCTATAAATGTCTTCTTCCTATCTCAAAATAGAATCATTGAATTTTCAGATGTTAGTTCATCAAATACAGCCTCCTTATTTTATGCATTACTGAGGCTCAGATTAATTGTGTCCCCTCCAAGACATGCTTATAGAACCTAATTCCCTGACCCCTATTTTAGCATGCTTTTCCCTGTGTAAAACAGATAGATTCCAAGTTTTCAATGGTACCTAATGCAGTACAGGGACTGTAATGTGGAGTTAAACCTCAATGTGTCTAACAAGCTACTTTGTTTACAAAATAAATACATACAGAGTAACCAGCATATTCAAAGGAATGCTCTCTTTTGAAGTAGATTCCTTAGAAGCCAGTCTGGGATTTGGACCATTTCTATCTCAGTGTTCTTTTCCCCAAAGAACACTGCCTTTCCAAGAGCTCAAACAAATCTTGCCAAAAATGTGGTTTAAGGAGACCACCAAAGGATCCTGACCTTCAAGCCTGCTTGTGTGTGTGTGTGTGTGTGTGTGTGTGTGTGTGTGTGTGTGAGAGAGAGAGAGAGAGAGAGAGAGAGAGAGAGAGAGAGAAAAGAAGAGAGATTGGAGGTGAAAGAAAGGTGAGAGAATCAGACATGAGATGATAATAGTAACAGTTCTGAATCTGTGTGTCACTGCTGCAAGCACTTTACCTGTGTTTACTCATTGACCATCACAAAAATCTCATGAAGTAGATATTAGCATTCTATCCATTTAACTGATGGGGAAACTGAGGCACAGGAATGCTAAATAACTTGTCCAAGATCATAAGCAGTGAGGTGTGTACCACATCAGAATCCTAAATATTTAACTCTACAGCTTGGGTTCTTAACTGTCTTGATAATTATATAGACATACTTTTTATATATTGAATATATATTCAGTAATCTTTTGTGCTTATTTTACACTAGGCTCTAAGTGTGTTGGTGCACAAGACATGGGTCTTGAAATCAATGGATTAGAGTAAAGAGAAGAGGAATCTAGTAATTTCAATCCAATTTGTAAGGATTTCCTAGCTGAGCTTGAACACAAGGCATTGAAACCATGCAGGAGGGCCACCTTGAGGTGGGGCTGGTGATGGGGTGAGGAGGGTAGACTTTCACACCTAAGCTTGAATCTGAAGGTGGAGTAGCAGTTAGCTGAACAGGTGGAGGCAGAAGGTATTCCCCACTGAGCAACAACAGCTTCAAAGGCCTGAGATGGGACAGAGCATGCATTCATTGGTTTGCAAATTGGCCAGACTGGTTGAACTTTTGTGGCATCCCTTCCTGTCTTGATCCATAAGCAAAAAACAAAAAAGTAAATAAAGATTAGGTTTTCAGAAAGTAGCATCTCCCTTCCCCTGCCTTAGCCATTTTACAGGTGAAAAGTAATGACTTAACTCATAATTTGATTTAGTGATCCTTATCTTATTTTATATTTATCTCACATATATGTGCATTTATTTATACTGTATTGGAAGTATCTTAAGGGGGGTGTGTGTGTGTGTGTGTGTGTACTTGCTTTGTTCCAACGATGCTACTTAAGATAGGACTTAGTTCTTGAGCCACTGTGTAAACTTGTCCAGACTCACTCTACAAATGAAAGGACTATAACTTTTCTTAAACAGAATTGAAACATCTTACTTTTGCAAATCTGTCTGATATGTACTGTTACGTATGAGTAAACAGTTCCCAAAGCGCAACAGAGTA